CCTATATTTTTTTCTATTTTATCATATTTTCATATTAAGAAAAATTTTTTGTTCACTTGTCAGTTTAATGAATGAATAATTCTTTTCTAGATTATGTATGTAGATTTGTTTGTGCGTGCATTCCCACTCATACATACATATATAAATTTTAATTTTCCTTTTAAATTTTCACTTTTTTACTCTTAAATACGTGGCTATTCTAAAGATTTTAGTGGGACGGTGTTTTTAAATTTTCTTTTATACTATTTTTTTTTTTATTTTATTCTTCACAAAAAATGAACGAGCACCTATCAGCCCAAATATAATTTTTTTTTTAAATATGGCGGATTGCAGATGACATCCGTCAACAGAAATTTTTAAAGTTCAAAATATAAATTAATACATAAATGTAAATATATATATATCTATATTTGCATTGTATATGCATTTATATACATACATACGCATATGTATATGCGAATAGGTTTTTTTAGTCTTACATATATAAAAATATTAAATAAATCTTTAGTACTTCATATTATTTTGTACTAAAATAAAAAACACCTATAAGAATTTTAAAATTTCCCGAGTTAAATTTTTGTAAGGTTTTTGTAAGGAAAATTACGTAATATCGTAAATATAAAATTGCTTACCTACATTACAATTAAAATTTTTAATTCTATTCACAATTCACATATTCACAATTTTTTATATTCATATAGGATTTAATTTAATGCCAAAGATTTCCAATAGCAGCAATATCGATAATATTTCTCATAATCGTAAAATAATTTTGAGTCGATCAAAAAATCTTAAAACAGTAGAAACTCAATTTAACGATCTCTTCATTGTAGATTTTGTCAGTCTGATCTATTTTAATAGTTTTTATAAACGCAAGTTCTATACTATCTCACTTTTGTCACGAAACCTGAAAACGGCAGTTGATCACAATCAAATAGCAGAAGCCTTTTCAGAGCTAGCGCATTGCAAGTGAATAAAATCCAGAGAGACATCTCATCTTGCGAACTACACATTCGGCTAAAAGTGGTATTTTCCTATTCATATGTGAAAACTCTAAGGAGCATAATTTCCCTTGTCGACACCTTGATATGTTTAAGTAACGTTTATTGCAATACGACTCCAACCAGTCTCTTATTTATATCTGCATAATAGGTAGAAAATCCACAAAATAATGAAGGTCCTACGAATTTAGTCTCATAAGTGCGCCTTGCTAGTTGGTTTTTCACCCTCAATGAACATTTCTTTGTTTTAAACTGTGAACTCATGCAGAACCGCATGTCAATGCTGCCCTAATGTCTAAGAGAATTCGTATAATTTTTTATTATGTAAATAATAATTATTCAAACTGACGCAATATACTCTTGGGCGGAAATTCATACACCCTAGTTTTTTTCGGAACGTTCCATCCTAGAATCATTCGCGTACCCAATAAACCAAATCGTAGCACAACTCTCCATGTAGTTAAATCACTATTTAGCGTTTGATTTATTTGGCAGAAGCATTTTCTTTTGATTTTAACAACCCTAAAATAGAGAATGATATCCACCCAAAAATTTACAACGCACTTACAAAAGATATTAAGAAACGTAAAATTATCCAATTTGTAAATTATGTTACTCACGTGAGTATTATTTACATGCTTTCCCTTAAATTATAACCGAGAAATCTAAAAAAATTCTTAATATTTCCTTTAAATTTTGAAATGGGGCCAAAAAAAATTAATTTTGGAATTCAATAGATGATGGTGATGATGATGATGACGATAATATATAGGGAATATCATAAAATTGAAATATACGAATGGGTTAGTGGACATATTTTTTCTTTTTCTGTTCTCTTTTTTTATTATTATTATCCAGAGAAATATGAATGTTTGTTGCATAACTTACATAATATATTGAAAAAGTAAAAACTCATATGAAAAATAAAATTCTATATGTTTTTTACCCTTTCATTTGTTTGTTCCGCCAAAATGGCAAAATTTAATGAAGACACCAAGTTAAGTTGACAATCGAAATATTTTATTGTTCAAACACATATATTATTCATTGATATATGAAATATGTATGAACACAAAAACAGAAATAGAATAAATATTATAAATGGAAATACATACATACATACATATATCATTTTTCTTTTTTAGAAATTGAAAGGTGATGCAAACGAAGTATGACAATTCGTTTCTTAAAGTATTTTCAACTATAATTTAAAATAAGTATAATTAAATTTTTATAATTGCTGTGCACATCAAAGAAATAATCAAATTTGTCGAGATTTTAAGGATTGTATGACATAAAAAATTATACGCAAAATAAAATCTAATTATATTTTTCTATTAAAGTAAAATTGAATGTTTGTAGTGAAAAAAATAAAACTTCATCTAGCTTAATGAAGAGGTCACGGCGTTCATACATATATTTAAGAACATGCAATTTATAAGAAATTTGAATAAAATTGTCAAAGAAGCAGAATAAATTTCAAGTTTTAAACATAAATTTTCGGCAATTTCTAATTTTGTTGAATGAAAATCAATTAATGAGGACGTAATAATCGTTTTAATGCTAACTAACTTTTGCGAAATCTTTTAATACTCGTAGTTTCAATATTTACTTCCGAAAAACGAAACGAATATATGATACAACTATTCAAGGTACGAGTAAATTATTAATTTTAAGACACTGTGCGGAAGCGATGGGAAACAAGACTGAATTACTTATTATGCTATGATTACGAACAACTATGCCATAATATATGATTCAACTTAAACTGAATATTGAACAATATTAGTTTTGAAAATTTTAACAAAATAACATTATTTTGCAAGGAAATACTTCCAATATAACAATTACTCGTAAAGAGGAAATCATCATTTTAGTTACCAAGAAATTTCATTAATCTCCCCCTAAAAATAAATTTTCGAATTACAAATTGTGTATATACGATCTTCACAAGATGTACAAAAATATAATTGAATTTTCATTGACAAAATAAATGCCCATTCACAAAATTAAGTACACCCACACGATTTCATTGTTTACCGCAGTAGAAGAACTTTGTCACTTATTTTATTGTATTACTTAATGTATTTTATATATATGTATTGCGTATATACTACATTTATGTATTTCTGCATATTAAACAATTTGAAATTCTTAGTTTTATGTCTTGTTGTTTCATAGAATACCCAATATATATAAATACATTAATTGATTGATTTGCAAAGCATCATTAATTTATGGTTATCGGAAAACAATAAATTGTTTAATTCTATGACCCATAAAATAAATATGTACAAAGATAATGTACGAGTATTATATATAGGAATATATATTTATGTTATATATATACATACTATAGTATATTAATTCTTATTTTTGTTAAAAGAGCACGATCTTTATACTATTAATCTATTATCTTTCATTTTCATTTATTTAATTTTATTATTATGGATAAAAATGTGTTCTACCAAGCAAATTTCATAAAATAACAAGTACATTGTTATATACGGATATAATTAGTACCGATAATAAGCAATATAGAGTGCATTAAAATGCAATCCAATGTGAAAGAATATACGCTATAATGGAATTATTTAATGTATCTCAAAAAATTCAACGTAAGAGCACTTTTTGTGAGTATTCTACTCTTATTTTTACTAAATTCGATTTATTATATTACAGAATTAAGCAATAAAGTAATACAATGATTGCTTGATTCTAATTTTTTTTGCAAATAAGATGACCCAAAATTTCGACCTACATATTCTTAGAATTTTTTTCTGAATTTCCAATCTTCCTCTTCAATTGTTCAAATATGAAAATAAAAAATTGTTCAAAGGACAATTAATTTTTTAATTTTCTTCTTTAAAACTAAATTGAATATTTTATCGAAGAAAAATTGAAAAAGAATGCAAAAACATATGAAGCTTCATTCCATTAAAAAGTTAAAAACCATTCAGAACAAAGCAAAATTCAAACGATAAACTGCATGGCGCCATTTCCAGATTAAAAAAAAAATCAAGTTTAAATTTAATTCTTAAAATTGCAAAATTACTCGAAATTGCATTTTTTAATTTGAGCACGTACACCATATACATATTTATATAACATCATTTATCGCAACCCCATTTTTTAGTGTGAAAAATCTTCTCTATTAATGTTGTTTTTGTTTACACTAAATTTTCAGGAACGCATCGTGAGCATTAAAGAAGGTATGCATTTGTTATACAGACACCACAAGGGAAAAAAATTATAGTTTTCCAATAACTCGCAAAACTTGCAGTAATTGAGTCAGAACAAAACTACCATTTCTTAAATATTTAATCTTACTCTCGTATATACTTAATTCATTTGAAGCAACTAAATTTTAGTATGAAATACAAAACCCAGAAACTTCAAGTGGAACAATATCGTATAATTGTAAATTACAAAAAGAAAATTAAAGTTTTGGAATGGAAAAGACTCACAGTCATGAGACGCATAACTGACATAAATATGAAATTAATTCAGTTAGGTACTAAAATTATTAAAAATATTTGCATTTGTGATTTAATTTTGCAAAACGACTCTGATATACTTAAGTAAAATCTTACAAATTACTCTAAGATTATTAACTTCATAATATGCATGTATATCACGTACTCGTAAATAATCTCGTCAGCCTCGTAAATAATAAGATACGCAAGTGGAAAACCCTAAAATATATCAAAATTTTTTTAATTATTTAATTATTTTTAATTAATTATTTAAATTGTAATAAAAACGAATATATACTATTATTACATTTTTTTTATAACCTCCTATAAAATTTTTTGTTTTATGCCCACACCATAAGTGTTATAATTTTGGCATCCAACAATTTATATTCAAAAATAGAATTCTCATAATTTATATTTAAAATGTTTAGCGATCAGACGACAGACACTATTTATTTTAATTACATTATGTGACAATTAATTTCAAATAATATATATATATATATTAAAAATGTCAGCTTACCTGTCAATATTGGTGTCATTGGAATTGTTTCAACATTTTTATTATTATTGTTATTACTATTTGATGATGATGATGATTCATCTTGAATACAATATTTATTTTTACCACTACCGGATTTACCGGAAACACAACTTGTAGGTTTTTTTGATTTAAATAATTTCATTTTTTTTTTTCAATTTCTTCTTTTTCTTTATATTTTTTCTTCTAAATATATTTTTTTCCCGAAGATTATAAATTTATTTTAACTTCCAACATAAATATTGAACATTTTCATTAATTTTATTTTTATTTTTCATTTATAATATTTTGTATAGAGTCATCATCACTTTTCAAACAAAAAAAAATCATATAAAAATTTTGACATTAAATTATTTTTAAAATTGTGTCAAAAAAGAAAAGCTTGTTTATTAATTTTTAAATTAATTTTTATTTTTGACCCCCCAAAATTTTATGAACACCTCATACAAAATATAAAAATTTTGCATACTTTGTGGGGCATTCTTTTTTTTTTACATAATTCTTTTGTTTTGCTATTAAACTTATTAATTTGTTACTATTTACAAGTTGTCTAAGTAAATTAGTTTATTTTTTTTTTTAATTGGCATATATTTATTTTTTTCTTTAAGTACTATAACAAATTTGAATTAGTAATTCATAACTAATAAAATGCATTCAATATACATGAAAGTGAAATAAATTTGAAGTACAACAAAAAAAAAATTAAATTTTTCTCAATTGATTTTTATTTTTTTTTTATCTCATCTCATTTTCAACTTTAATATTGATGTTTTTTCTATTTTTTTTTTATTCTATATTTAATTACTTGCACTTCAACTTCAATCTTAATTGAAATTACACAAGATCTAGAATTCCAGAAAAAACAAAAAAATAAACGGAATTGTGAAAAAACCAATAAAATAAAAATGAAAATATTCGAAGAAAAATAAATGTTTATATTTGTTCATGTATGTATGTTTATTGTATGTGGTATGTGCGTAAAAATATAATTTGGGAAATTGGAAAAACAAAAAAGAAAATAAGAAATAATTTTTTTTTTTTTTTTAAGTAAACTCATTAATCGTATACACATGTCAATAATAATTTTTGTTACGTATTTCAATTTATGTCTAAAAGAAAAGATGATGGGGAAAAATTAAGTAATATTATGTAATACAAACTTCAATTTGAATACATGTTCTGAGATGTAAAATAAAAATGAAAATATTTTTGAAATTTTCTACAATCGAATAATGTTCAATCAAATTGGATAAAAATTAAAAATTCTTTTGATAAATTTTTGGGGAAATCCCGGAAATTTTGAAGTACATATTTCTCATCTTGCATTTTGTCATACAAATTCTCAATTCGAAATTCTTACATTACGCTGGTAACTATAAAATTTTAAAAATCTGAGAAACATATTCACATTCTAAATTTAAAAAAACAATACATAAAAATGTGAAAATGTGGTTTTGAGTGAACAATACAAAATTCAAAGAAAAACAAGAAATTTAAGTAATACAAAGACCGAGCTTGCATTTTAGTGATTTCCACTAAGCTATAAACACATATTATATACTTTATTAATATTATATATTCCATCAAATGAACTCCATTTAAATAACCTATTATATCAAACTATTTAAACTTAATTGAAAATGATAAAAAGTTTCCCAAATATAATCGATATGAAACCTATAAGTATACAATGCATTTATATTTTTATATATGATTCAATGTTTTCCACAAATTAAAAATATTTTTATTTTATTTTTGTATATATTTTAAATTAAGAGAAAATGTAAAAAGTCAGCGGCAACCATCAGCCGTTTTTCAAATTATTTTTTTTTATATACACAAAACAAATATAATATATAAAATGCAGATAAATATATTTTCCGGCCAAAATACTTTAAATTTTCATTTAAAAGGAATCAAAAGCTAAATATAAGAAAAAAAAAATAAAAAAATATGTGGAATTCCAGCTTTGAAGCCTGACATATACTTACATATAATGTGCTTTTTCATTCAATAAGCAAATGTATACACTGAAAAAAATTTTCAATTTGCACATTTACGAATGTAATATGAAAATTTTTAATTTTTGTACTACATATACAGAAATGTTACATGTACAAGCCAATTACTTATTTTCCAGTACCGTTATACTTAGAGCAATATAGAATTAAAAAAATCAAGAACTCGGCTACTTTTAATATCGTTTTAACATATAGAAAATGTCCTTATATGTATAGGATAAATTCGATTCAAATATACGTATAAAAAAAAATATGAATTTATTCTCAGATCTACGTAGATTCATTATCTAATTTTAATATAGTGACATTGCATTTGAATTTTTTAAAGATAACAGTTTTACTATATAGTTATTTTACTTGAAATTCTAGTCAGTGAGGGAGTGTTGTATGACTTGGAATGCAACGCCAAATATCAGGCTAGAAAGGAATTCTATCGACAACTTCTACAACATATCCGCACTACTCAACTTATCTTACAAAGTTTTAAATTCCGCTGGAGAAATGTTTGACAGTTCCTTCAGTCGAAAACACTTATACTAGCATATATGTACCACTGTTTCGTATCAAAAGTGACAATCACATGATGATACTCAAATAATTTGAAATGATATAATTTTAGCTGTTAAAATTTGTTTTATTGTAAAATTTTAGCTGTTAAAATTTGTTTTATTGTAAAATTAAGTAGGAATTGTTATATGCAATTCTAATTTCTAATTATCTTGCTTTTTTATCGCATATATGTAATGTGCGTCAATATTTTTCTCTGTGATTTCATTTCAATACTATTGTGAATTTATAAAAGAAAAAAAAAAGAAAAACAAAATTCATTTTAAAATTTCTAACAAAATCAAAACTTATATATTTATTTTTTGGAATTTTGTGATTTATTGCTATATTAAATGCAATAAAAATAAAGAAAATTTTGTTTTTGTTCCGGAAATGCAAATCGTTTAAAAATGTTTTGAAGAAAGAAAAATTAACACTTTATAAAACAAATAAATTTTTGGTTAAATATTTTTTTTTATGTCTTAAATAAAAAAAAACAATCTATTTCATATATTATAAAACTTAATTTTATTTAAAATTTGTTTATATTATGAAATTTCATGTTTAATTCAAGAGTAATTGGTTTCTACATTTGAACATTTTCATTAGTTCTATTCAATTGTATTAGATCGCAATTTATTCAAAATTCAACTAAAAAGTTTCTTACTTCTGGAAATTCTGGAATTCGAACCACTCCTGAACTCTATATTAAATATCTTATTGAATATATTATTTAACTATACAATTTTAAGTACTAAAACCTACGTTTTATTTACGTAAACTTGAAAATGAAAATCACGAATGCGACGTATAATAATTTTAATATTTGTTCTCGGAATACAATCTAATATATAAGTTTTTTCTAATATTTAAGTCACTACCCTGGTTGGCATACTATAAACATAAAATGTACTATAGTTAGTATATTAACCAGGGCAGTACTTAAAAATTTTCAAAGTTCTTGTAATTTAAGCTTTACTTTCTAGTTAGCTCTCTTAATTATCGCATTTGAATAATCCCAATTTTTATTCGAGACTATATTCTAGTAAATGTACTTATAGAATTCTATTGTAGTCCAAATGATAACTAAGCCTCATTAATTTAAAAAAAAACTTAACTTTTTTAATACGTGTATGATCGAAAAGTTCTTTAATCATAATACAAAACTAATATTCATTATTAAATATTATTAAATAAACACTCCTTAATTTATAATTCAAGATTCCTTCATATGCGTAAAACAAAAGAAACATCAATCAACAAAATTTAATTTTATATACGCACGAAATATTTAAATTTTCAAGATCCCCATGGTTTTATTTCAATGTAAATACATATACGGTAACATCAAAAATTACAAAACACAAGTTTACGGAAAACTTCAAATACTTTGTTTAGTTTGTATAATAAAATAAGCCATAAAGTCAACTTTTTTTTTTGTAATAAATCGTTGATCCATAAAAAGCATTGAATTATTCAAATATAATACTAATACGAGCGCCATCTATATAGGTGTGTTAAGAAAACTTATAAATAATTTTATTTTAAAATTTTTTTCTTCAAAAATATAGTTCTTAAATAGAAAATTAGTTGAAATCTTAGAATTTCTTCTAAAAAATAAAACTTTTGTGTACTGAATATGTTTTTGAAACTACCACTTTTTTTTGAAGTGGCAACTTATATATTTCGATTGACAGATTTTGTCGTGATTCTAAAATAATTTTTCTGCTTTAGAAGCCATCATTATCTTTTTAAGAATAAATTAATGAAAAATTTTAAAATTAACAGACATAGCAAAGGTACTTTATTACGAACCTTTTGCTTTATAAAATAAAAGTTAAAAGTTCGATTAGTACTGCCATGTCGCTCTAATTAATATTATAAGAATAGTTAACAAAATAAAATCGGAAACACATAATATCATAAACATGTCGTATTTAATTTGTATCTGATTTTGATGGATAAAGGATCACTTTTGAGCCAAATTATTAAAGGTGACATAATAATATTTCTTACAAGAAAGTCGCAAATTTCATTTTATTTCGCTAAAATCTGATAATGTAAAAAATAATAGCTATTACATAAAATATTCATAGAAAATATTAGAAAATTTTATTGTAATAATAACTGTCATTATTATAACAATGTAATATTATTTATTCTTTGATTTTTAATAATTTTAATTTAAAACAATTCATACTTAATAGCTGACATTGTTTGAAAATAAAAACAAAAACTTTGATTGTTTAAAATTAAACTTACGTATAAAGTTATAAAATTTGAAATACGATCATTAAAATATTAAACTAATCCAATGTTCTTCAAACAGTGTGCTGCGTAAATCTCATAAAAAAAGTAACCATATATAAATAAAAAAATGAATCTGGGGTTCGGAGAGATTTAAAATAAAAAATAATTCAAAGTGTATTTCAATGATCTATGATAGTCTCCAACTGTCAGACACAGAGTTATTTGTGATATTTGCGATACTCCGTAATCTGTAAAGGATTGAGAATCACTGAATTTGCCTACACGATTAAATTTTTATTAATATTAACGGTTAATTTTTTTTTATTAATAAAAACGAAATTTTATTTATTAATTTTATCTATCCTATTTAAATACCATATATTTCAGACATAAATGCTATTTTAGCTGATCTTAAATACTTTTGACACATATTTCATGAACTTAATAAACGTTTGGGTATATTAGGCTTCTATAATATTATAAGCGAATGCAGAATTCTAAGAAACAAATTACATGAATTCTTTCAAATTATTTGAATTGGAAAGCCTGCCAATTCAAATAATTTGAATTAGATAAGAATATGATTTTTAATTCAAAAAATTTGATTATTTATAAAATGCACATTGAATATTATTAAATTAATTAAAAATATTTTGATCTAAATTAATTTTTGTATTTTCAAAACAAATTATATTAAATATTTCCAGATTATTTATATTTGCAAAATAAATTTTCGTATATAAAAAATAATCAAAAAACTCTTTGAAACCATGAATTTTCTTAATTCAGCCACATCATCGGGAAGAGTCCGAATTATCGCGTTACTTAACTGTCAATGTTATTTTTCTACAACAAAATTTTAATATTAATATTCAAATATGTAAATTTACTTATATTTATATGTAAATATGTATTAATAATTTTCATTTTCATTTAAATTATTTTTTTTTTTTTTATATATTTTTAATTCATTTTTTTCTTCTTTATTTTTAATACGTTACATGTTTTGGCTTATTTATTATTTATTTCTATTTTTCCAATTTTCCACCAAATTCTTCTATTAAAAATAATTTGAATAAAAAAGAAAAAAAAACAGCAAAAGAGCATCCAAAACAAAAAAAAGTATAAGAGAAAAAACAAATTAGAATTTATTTACAGCACACTTTTCAATTCAAATTTTCCGAAGAAAGAAAATTTTTATAAAAAACAAAACAAAAAAAATTTAGCAGTGATTTTTTATGTTTTTATTATTGTTATTTTGTGTATAGCGTTCAAAATTGAGAAAAAATAAACTAAAATTTTTTTTTTCTTTTTCCAAATCTATTTTCAGAATTTTTTTACATCATTTAAGTGTATAATTAATATTACTAAAGTATACACACAAACACACTTATACGCATATGTATGTATGTTTGTAATTATGTACAAAATTTCATTTATATGAACGCATAGTAGTTTCAAATACGTGTTTTTCTTTCACTAATAAAATTAATAAAAACAAAAATTTTGCCTTATTTCTCTTATTATTATTATTATTATTTTTGATTTTGACGTTACGACAAAGTGCGCGCGATTATATGTCGTCGTCGTCGTCGTTGTCGTCTTCGTCTTTTATGTTACATTTTTTTTTTTATATTTCATGTTATTTATTTTATTTTATTTATTATTATATTTTTCTTATTTATTGATATAAAATTTTTCAAAAAGAAAAAAAAACAAAATAACAAAAATAAAACGACAACACACACCCTATCGGCCAACAGACCGTAATAATTTTGTCATTATTTTTTCTTTTTATTTTGTTTTAAATTTTTTTTTTAGTTTTTATACTTTTTATATTTTCTTTAGAGGTTTCATTTGAAAAACTCAAGTTAATTACGAGTAAAAAAAAAAAAAATAAATTTTTAAAAAAATTATTCAAAAAAAAAATTATTTTTTTATTGTTGTTTTTTTTTTTCCTTCAAATTGAAAATAAGAAAAAAATTTAACGTGCGTTCATTATTTTCGCTTTCCGCGATTTTATGTTGTTATTTGGTAGCGTTTTACAAATAAACTATATACTATATACTGTCAAATATTTGAACACTCTGAAATCTCGTTGAAAACTAAAATTGAGTGGATGGAGAAGAAAATAAATTTCTTTATTTTAATATTTTTATACCATGTGTGTATAAGTAAGTAGCTGTTATTCTTCTTCTTTTATTTTCTGTTCTTGAGTGATTTTCAGAAAAAGAAAAAATATTTATTTATATTCTATTCTATTAAAAAAGAGAAAGAATAAAAGAAACAAAATGAAATGAAAATCCGAAAAATCCGAAATTGAAAAGCGAAAAGCAATCTTACATATCTTGTGTATCTACTAAAGAATAATTACTTATTAATTATATTAGATCGTTTCACGTTCGCTGCTTTTATGAATATTAAAGGAAAGGGTCTTGCTCTTTTGCTACATAGTTGTGATGTTTTTTTTTGTTATTTTTACTGTTTACAGCTACAAATTAATATGATTTTTTTGACTTTTATATAAGAATTAATAATTTAGTTAAGATATTTTTAGGTTGAAAAAAATACTCAAAGTATAAAAATCAAAAGATAAAATAAGAAATAAAAATGTCCATTGAAAGGAGAGAATAATTTATGATATATTTAAAAGGAAAAATTTATCAATGCTCTTTGAATTACGACGCAGTGCACACACTTTATTTAACGTATATATACTACATATATAAAAAATTTATTTGTATTACACACAGTAATCAACAGATTATGCTCCGCTCAATAACGTTCTGCTATAGAGAACTTCAAATTTGTAAACAATAATATCAAAAATTTTCCCAGCTACTTTCTTACTAAATAAAATTTTTGAGCAGTCAATTTTATACTTATGAATTTGTTGAGGGAAATCCTATTTATTGTCCGTCAAAATATTTGTCATCCATCAATCTTAAAAATTGCAAAATTTTTGAATATATATCAAAATAATTTAACTACAATAATTTAAGATTAATATCATAATGGAAGTTGCCATTACCAAGGATTATTGAGTCGTTTTTCGAATTAAATATGATTCTTTAAATTATATACTGACGCAATTATAGGGTGATTACTGTATACACAGCTGAATAATAGTTAATCATAAGCGTTGATTATTTTTTTTTCGTAATAAATAACACGTTCAAATACTGTTATAATATTTTTGTATAATTTTGTAACCATCAAGGAATATTAATTGAAATCTATAATATAAAATTTATTGATTTTCATTTCGATAATAGATTTAGAAAGCATAAAATAAAACAATTATTAAATTATTAACTGAAAAGAGACCAAAGTATTAAGTCTGAAAGTATTAAATAATTAATTAGAATTTGTCCAATAGATGGCATGAACAAACTAAAATCGAAACACATATAATACTTATGTATATTATTTGTTAGAAATAATAAAATAATATAAATATAGATATATTCATCTAAGTCTATTATTTCTCAGCATTTAAAACGGAGGTATAAATATCATATACCTGTACAGAGAAATTTCAAATTTTGTACTATACAAAAAATATTCTCCCACTATTCATCACTTTGCTTTTGTATACCATGTATATTTTCAATTATAAGGTTCACTAATTAATTTTAAAATACTTGAAATTTCATTTAAATAATTTTTATTTTAAAATAATTTAATCTTTCATGAAAATTATGTTTTCACTCAATATTACCATAAAATATCACTTGAACACTTTAAAAGAAAAACTCTCAAAATTCTTAAAAATTTTCTACTTTATAAATTTTATTTATTCATACACACACATAAATTTATTTTTGAGAATGAAAATTGTACTAGATATGTGTTAGTGTGAGAAAAGATCATTGAATTTTAATTTTCTTTTATTTTCCTCATTCAATTATAGTATACGCGCGATGTGTACGCATGAATATTGTGAGCGTATTGGTTAAGTTTTGTTGATATTATACATGTATTATTTGGATTTTCTTTTTAGAAAAATAGGACAAGTAAGGAAAATCTTTTTGAGATTTTTATAGATTAATCACCATCACAATTTTATCATCACACATTCAATTTTAAATGTTTGGAAAGAAAAAAAATTAAAGAGAGATAGCCAGAGAGAAAATTTTAAAAAATTAGATATAAATATGTAAGCATATATAATATATTATGTGTGCGCATAAGTACATACATACATACTTTTTGCCGTACACTTATACACTTTTGGCATGAGCACGTTAATGAAGTGTTCTGTGTGTAATTAAAATGTTGTTTTTATGTAGTAACATTTTAAATTCTTTTGCATTATATTGATTGATATACGTGTTAACGCACGTATATCAATCAATACAATGACACTAAAAAAGTGTCACTTAAAAGTTTATTCATAAATATGATGCGCGAAATTATTATACAATTAACACAATGAATGCAAACATAGCGAAAATTTTGTCAAAAAACTACTCATTTTCTAGCTATATTTGAAGTCCAAATTGTTATCGAATAGATAAATTGGCCGAAGAAACAAGTCTTAAGAAAGAATATTCAAAAGATTTTTTTTTTCTCAGCTTGAACTGGAAGCAAAGACCTTCTATTGTTTAAAAACATATTTTGTGCGTGAGATCACTTTTTGGAGTTCAATTTAAAGAAAAAAATTTTTTTATTTTTTTTACATTTTACGACTTCATTCCATTTTCCACGACAATCATCAATAATAATATGCAATAAAATTACTTTAAATTGCAACAAAATTATTTTGAAAGCACAATTTTTTATATTACGCTGATTATTATTTGTTATAACATGGAAACCTATTATCAATGCTCAGACCCGGCTCGACCGTGGATGCAGAAGATGCACGGCATCGGGGCGCCACTCTGAAAGGGTCTGAATGGGCGCTAAAATCGAAAAGTGATTTTCCACTTAATTGTTTTTTGTAATTTTTTTTTTTTTAAATCAAGTTTCCAATCCAAATTTTTTTTAAAAAAATTTTTGCTTATCTCAAATTAAAAAAACACAAAAAAAAATGTAGTCGTAGTAGGCTTTTTTTTAAAAAAATTTTTTTTCGTTAAAAGCTTTTTGGTTTATAGACAGGCATTTTTCATTTTCGTTGCGATATTTTCAGTAAGAAAAAATAGTATTTCATTTAATTTAAATAAAATATAATTTATTTTGTGAAATATTTAATTTTAATTAGACATTAAAGTGTAAGAAAAAAGTTTAATTTGTTGGATAATACCATTTTTGTGAGTATAGTGATTTTTATCAATTTTATATAGATTTCAAATTATCAAAATTTTGCAGCATCATTAGATAGACATAAACTCTTCTGAGTTATATAATGAACTTTTTATATTTAAAGATACCATAACGCCGCAACTAAACAATTATGATCCCTTAAATATTTTAAATTTTATGTATACAAATGATTTATTTGGGATATTTCCAAATTTAACAATAGCTTTGCGGATACTATTAACTCTACCAGTTTCTGTAGCAAGTGGCGAAAGGTCATTTTCTAAACTTAAATTAATTAAGACATATTTCTATCAAATATTTCTCAAGAGAGATTAGTTGGGTTAGCAATGATTGCTATTGAAAGCGATATCTGAGATGAATTAAAAATTAATGATATTTTGGATGAATTTGCTGCGATAAAAGCAAGAAAAATAAATTTTTAAGCTAACTATCGTGCAATTGATTTTATGTGTAATTGATATCAGTTACAAATAAATGTTTAATATTATATATTATACAATAATCAATATACTGTTTAATTAGCATTTGATTTTTTTGATATATTTTTTGATAAAGGGCGCTAAATAGAAACTTGCATCGGGGTTCTAGTACCGCTAGAGCCGGTGCTGTCAATGCTCAAAATCCTATAATACGTATCATAACCATTCTATAATCAAGAGCAAAACAGATTTCAATAAATTTAATAAAAGTTTTTATCGCCGCTAATTAATAATTTAAAGTTTAATTTTAATTAAAAATTAATACGATTTTATTCAAGGCTATATTAAGGATTTTTAAATAATCACACTCGTATTTTAACGAAACAAAGTAAATTATATTATCGGTTTTAAAGATTATTATATTTAAATTTGTTAACCAATACTTTTCGTAGACATTCTGCTTAGCACAATTAAAAGAGTTAATTGAGTTAATGAGCATAATTAATGACTAACACTTGTATATATTACAAAACATTAACAATGCAAATTTGAATAATGTTCGGCACTCAATTTTTAATATAAAAGTTTGCTATAAATTCGAAAGTTCCCTAAAATTGAATAATTGTAGATCACTTGTTATGGGATTTGAAATTTTATATTTTGATATTTAACATTTAACAAAAAAAAAGCGGGTATAATTTTTCTTTTCACTTGATAATGAAACTATTAATATTATCTAATATTGTCCGTAGAATAAGTTAAAATCCTTGTCGCAAAATATAATTCTAAAACTCAAATAGTAAAATTTTATAAATTCATAATCAATAATTTACTTTTTTATGTATATTAAAGCATAGCAAAATATATATTAAAAAAATTAAACAGAGAGGAACAAAGTCAATTCACAAAGTTTAGTCGCCCGTAAAATCGCGACTATCATTAACACCAATAATAAAATTGTAATTTTTTTTTATTACTGTACTAAAGTTTTCTTATAATTTAGAGCTGCTTTAATACAGGCTACAACTAAAAGGAGGCAGAAAAAATTCGTAAAATCAAAGTGAAATTAAAAAATATTTAAAAACTTCTACACAGTGGCCCATATAAGCAAACGCACAGACAGAGAAAAACTAATATTTTTGCTTTTTGTATAGGAATTAACCAGTTTTTTATGAATAAAATTAAATTCGATATATTGTTAATTGTGCTTAAATAATTTAATATAATATGTAAAGAAATTAAATGTTAAAGACTTTCCCCCACAAAACATTTTTAAAACTAATTCCTTTTTTAAAAAAAAACAAAAATAAACACAACCGGTCCAACCCTGTATTTATAACAAAGAAGAAATAAAACGTGTACATATTTTCAAAATTTCCATAATCCTTTAATGAATGAACATGAAAATTATTTTATAGGTTCACGTTTCTTTTATTGTTACTGATTTGATTAAACAGTAAGATAGGAATATAATTAGAGCAATTACAATATGTACAATTCTTATGAAAAAAATTTATTAGAATAATAAATACATATTACATAGAAATTAAAACAGTAGCAATAAAATTTCTATGCACTCGGAATGTAATACGGAAATTTGATTATTGAAAATATTTTCACTAGCAAAATGCTAAAAAAATTATCATTTAAGAAGAAGAAAAGTAATGAAGATGATATTAATTATGTCCAGTTATTTAAAAGAAGTATAGTTTATCAAACTAAAGAATTTTTTGAAAATTCTACACTACATGGAGTACGTTATATTGCTGAAACAGGACGTCCAATTGGAGAAAAGTAGGAGAAATAAATTTTAAACAAGCTTAGATCTATGTATACGAGTAATAAATTAATTAGGGACAAAATTTAGTAAAATCAATAAAGAACTTTTTAGACATATAATTTCGTGTGTCATACCGTTAATTGAAATTTGTTGCAATAAATATTCGCTATAAAAGTTGATAAATTATGTTGTCTCTAGCATAAAAATTCTTTAAGTTGAATTCAATAATTTTTAATTTTAATACAAATTCGAATTTCCTCTAATTTAATCTATTATCGTGTCAATATTTATTCAAATTGAACGATAATACATTCTCACGATATATAATTAAAACTTTTAATGAAATAGTAAAATATAACCCTGTTAACTTATTAGTTTCCTACATAATAAATACGAGTAATAATAAATACCAACATTTTTTTACATTTACAAATTATTCACAATAGCACTTTCAATATATTTTCTATTTGTATTAAGGTTTATGTGGTTTTGTTTCACAAGCATAGGAGCTGTTGCAGCCTTGGTTATTATTATGAGTTTATGGGAAAAATTTCAAACAAATCCAACAATAACAGGTATGTCTTCCATATTTCTGTTTACATCAATTGGTAAATTTTTAATTGAATATTTTTTACTTATAATTTTTTTATAATTCTTCACTAGGTTTGGACACAGATTTTCATAATCAACAAGTAATGTTTCCAACAACAATTGTTTGTCCAGAGGAACCTTATGATTCCGGTAAAGCATATCAAGCTGCTTACGCTCAAATTGGGTAAGTTTGAAGAAAAAATATTTACATTTCAAAAACTACATATTAAGGATTTTTTTTTTGCAATTGTAGAAAATATGATAACGATAAAGCACTTATTATAGCCCCTTTCTTAGAAATTTTAACAAAACTATCATTTGATAATCTAATGGAAGCTTATGCATTAAGTGAAAATTTTAGTTCAACAGTTTCATTAAATGAATATTCACTAAGAAGTTTGGCATTTATGGTAAATTTATTAAATTTTTTTTTTTTAAAACTTTATTATAAAACAATATTAAATTGTAACTCTGGCTAATATAATTTAAAATATTGAAATAGCTAGACTTTATGCATTATAATGTACCAGAACATTAAACTTTGATAATAAAATGTTCACACGAAAAAGGTTTAAATTATTAATGTTAATTTTATATTATGAATTTTATAAATTTTATTTGAAGGCTGCTAAAGACTGTAACGACACTTTATTAAAATGTAAATATCGGACAGAAGATGTCGCCTGTTGTTCACATTTTGAAAGTGTTTACACAGAACATGGTTTTTGTTATGGTTTCAACAGTAGATTTAAATCCAAAGATAAAATTGAGTAAGTTTATAATATGATCATGCGCAAATTAGAAATTAATACAATTTATAATATATATGTAGTGAAAAATCTGTGGCTGTGCATGATCTTTATGAAACTGATAAAAAATGGTCATTACAATTTTTACTTAATCAAACATCAAGGGTATTTTAAAATATTTTTAAATGAATACAAGGTAATTCAGCAAGAGGGTGGGAGCTATATGACGGTCGAAAATAAGTACATTTTTTGTTCGGAACATAGTGTACCATCTGGACAGCAAGCCCTTTCAACAACAGTTTTTTTGGGTTTTTATCTTTTTTGGAACGAAAATTATAAGATTTTGAAACGGTTCCAAATTTAAACTATGTTTCGAAGAAAAATATAACATATTTTCGACCATCAAACCAATGATATTTGACTCCTAACTTCTTGCTGAATCACCCAGCATGCCTTTATAAAAAAAAATCTAAATAAACTTTGTTTTGATTTCACTTAGATTTATATATTTTCGCATGAAGAGTATTTTGAAGCCGGTTTTAAGCATCAGCTTGTCTGGGAAAAAAGAAATGAGGATAGCATTTTAATTTCAAAGAAAAATACTTATACAACAGATGATGCAAAACAGCTTAGTATTAAGTATGGAAATACTTTTAGTATTGAGAACTTAATAAACATCGAAAAAACTGCAATTTAAATGTCATAATTTAGAATATATGTACATATATACATATATGCTTATCTATTTATTTAATTTTTTCTGATACATTAGAATACTTAATTGGAAATTTATTAATTTTTATTTTTCAAATTTTTAGGCAACGTAAATGTATTTTTCCAGATGAAGTGAAATTATCATATTTTAAAGAAGAGTACACGTTTTCGTCATGCATGAAAGAGTGTCGTATAAATAAAGCTTATAAACTGTGCAAATGTAATCCACCATTTTATAAACCAATTGGTAATATTTTTTAAATAACATACATATTTTAATGTGTATCTTAAATATTAAATATTTTAGCGGATATTCCAATGTGTAAGTTAAGTGATTTTCCATGTTTAGACAAATACAAAAAAAATATAACAAATATTAAGGATTGTCTTCAATGTGAGTTAAGTTGTCAGAAAACTGTGTACAACATTGAAAAATTAACAAAAGTGTAAGTTTTTTTATAACATTTCATTTCAAATCATTAACATATCAATTAAATTATTTACTGAGATACATAATTAGATAAAACTAGAAAATTAATTAATAAAACCTTATACTGAATATGGTTTAAATAAATTTTTTAATTTTAAAAATTCTTATTTTATATTTTTAGTGAGGGTGATAACAGTAATGAAGTAAGAATTGAATTTTTAACATGGTAAATTAAAATAAAAATTTTTCTAAATGTTATTTATACATATATACTTGATAAAGTTCTAAATTACAATTTTCTTCAATATATTTAATTGATTATTTTTATTTATATGAAAGGCCTATAATTCGATATAAACGTGAAGTATTGTTTGGTTGGGTTGATCTATTGGTATCGTTTGGTGGAATTGCTGGATTATTTTTAGGATTTTCATTGTTATCTGGTGTTGAAATTATTTATTATTTTTCCCTCAGAGCATTCTGTATGATATACAAGAGCAGGGTAATTTTAAATGAATTGTGTTTACTTTATAAAAAATTATAATTATTTCAATTGTATTTTAATATTGCATAAAATTAGGATGAATTGCATGCGATTGAGAATGAAAAATTGAAAAAGCCACCACCAAAAATAAATATGTCCCTACGATTGCGAGAACAAACTAGTAAATCAATGAAAGAAAAACCTTTAAATTCTAGTGCAACAAGTGGAATTAATATTAAACCAAATATTGAAAACATAACAACGGCAAATAAAACTACCAGAAGAAATATAAATAAGGTAATGAAATATTTGCAAAATTAAAGTAAAAAAAAAATTAACGACATAATGTAAGTAAATATGACTTAAATGTTAAATAGATACATACATACCTAAATCTTAATTATATGAAAAAATATTTTATTTCATGAAGTTTAATTGTAAGTTATCCTTATACATTTGTATATTATTGTAATTAAATGACAGCACCTACATTTTATATAATTCAAATCATACTTCTTAAATTATTCCTGTTAAATCGATATTTCTCAGTTAAATCGATAATACAGAAAATTGAAACAAATTATCTCACATTAAGTTTACACCTTTTCTAGAAATTGTCATCCCATAAAAAATTTGTAGTTTAAAACTTAAATCGAATCTAATCAAAAAATTATTTTGTAACTAGTAAAATTAAAAATGTACTTGCTTTTATTTTCGTTACTAGAATTGTTGATATTTTTATTTATATTTTAAGCGTTTGGAACAAAATAAAGGAATTATTCAAGTACGTCCAAAAGACTTTAGCTCAAGAAGCTCAAACAAAATGGGAATTCTACCACATAACAGGATTGGATAATTACATTCCTACATACATACATACATATTTTTAGGGATAATTGCAAAATATTTACATTTTTCTAAATAACATTATTTCAATATACCAATATGTTTTTGTTTATAATGCATTGTAAATATAAATTGTATACTAAATTAATAATAAATACAAGGTTTACGTAAATAAGAACTTTTTATGGTAGGTTTTCAAAATTTAATGTACGTAAGTGCCTACATGAAAAATATTTCATTAATGCAAAGTCAGCATTTAAAATATTTTCAACTCCGTCTCGGTGAAAATATGTAAGTACATAAATGTTATTCCTCTTTGCTCGAATTTAATTCTTGCTAGTTTAAATGCCAAGGTTTCAGTAATCGCATTCTTTTGTAATCTACAATTAATAATTCAATACATAAATTGATTTAAATCATTACACATATTATTCATGTGTAGCTCCCTCAAACATTGCCAACTAATACCTCATCATCATTACCTTTACGTTTAGTCAAAAAAAAAATAAATCAAGGGGCTTCCGAGCTGACAACTTAATTGTAGAAATAAAAAAAACTCTTACCTTATTATTATTTCCCATTTTGATGATCTCAATTAGATTTCCTTTTAATGATCTCCACTTTTTGCCACCACTTTTGCTCCGCCGCATTTAATTCAAACCAATCTCAAAATTTTCCTCTTATGAACGAAATTGCATAAATTTTTTATCTTTAGACTAAAAATCCTACTTGCTTTGCCATTATATAAATTCAAAATATTATCAAAAATTGATCCCGCATTGTTAATCATGAATGTATATTGTATTACGAAATTGTTATGCATATGGAATGTTTGTGAAGTAAACAAAACCTTTTAACCGCGTTCTTCCAGATTAGGTTATATTCAACTTTTCATATTTGAACTATCGGTAAAAATGAACGGCTCTTTCGTTGTTGTTTCCTTTCAACAAATATTTTCCGAAACTCTGTTTATATTATAAGTTATTTGATTTTATTTTTAATTTCTGTATTTTGCGAAGTAAACATCAAATCGATTATGTTAAAATGAATTGCTGAAATAAGACAATATTTTATATTTCAATTGGTAATTGATGTTAGTTGTTGTATTAAAAGTTTATGTTAGACAAGGTTTGACCAATTAAATTTTATCAAAAATCAAAACCAACTTGCTTTTTACTAATATGTACTATACTGTCTAAACATTTACAAGAGACTGCAACTTTTTAAAGAATCTGATGTCATTGGGTAAATAATTTATATGGAGTACCGAGTAATATTCTCTGCCTGAATAAATTTCTTCCCAGTGACGCAATATTTTCTAATATCACTTCTATTTTGCAGATCTTGTAAATTTTCAAACTATAAATAAGATATGCAATTTAAAACTGATAATTCAATTAATTACATATAAATTATCAATAAACTGAAAAAAATGTGTGGAAAAAATTTCATATGAAGACATTGCGATATAAATACCAAATTGAACAGTGTCAATTGAAGAGTCAAATTTATACATATTTATTCTTCAGCTCCATCATTTCTTCTTAAGAAACTAACATTTTTTAATAATGTGGTAACAATATTTTGACATTTTCCAGTCGTTTCGTTACATATTGTCATAAACATTGAAAAGTCAAATTTCGCATTTTTTTAAGAAGTCGCAATTTTTGTCAATCTTATTAGTACACGCAAAATAAACTTGAAGAGACTATATTTTTTTTTCAAATTTCTTTTCTTACTTAAAATAAGTGTAAATGTAAAAATTATAGAATAATTAAATGGAAGCAACAACTTATTATAGCATATTTATTCCATCGCAAGTAGATAATAGTGATGGTAAGAAAATACCACGTCAAAATCAAAAAAGTTAAATGACCTCCTGTAAAAAAAATTTAATTATGTATAATAAATAGATTGATTTTTTTTTTGTTTTGTTTACATTTAGAATTTTAAATTTGCAAAAAGAAATTTTAAGAAAATTTTATATTTTCATAATAAAAATGAAGTTATTTTATATACATATAAGATAAGCTTTATAAAAATATTTGATAAGATTCATACAAAACTTGTAAATGTTTATTAAAAAAAAATCAAAAATAGGGCAACAGAAACCTAAAAAAACTAAAATTAGTAACTAAATTTAATCCTCATTATGGTCATCAAATAAAATTTTCATATATTATTTAGGAAAGGGCTTTAAATAAGGTTATTATATTTTAGAATAAAATTAATTTACAGTTTTGCATATTGGACAGCATAAACTTGGAAGAACATTTGCAAAACTGTAAATAAAATTACAAACACATAGTTAAAAACAAAAAAAATTTTAATTATTTAGCTTCTGATATTTTTTTTAAATAAGTATTTTTAGATGATTTTTTTTTATAAACCAAGGACAGAATGTAAGGGCAAATGTGCATTAAATTTCTTTCATTCTTTTTTATAATATTCGAAATGGTTAGCCTTGTAAATTTTTGTGCTTTAATTTCGCAATGTTGTTTTGAGTATAGGAATTTACAAATTAAAATATATGCATAGATATATTCATACATACATATGTATGAATGTATTTGGAAACTGACCCTAAATTATCGAGTTGAATGATTGTACGTACACAAAACAAACCAACAAAATTGTTTTTAATCCTAGATTAATAATAAAGAAATAGAATTTTCATGCGAATTAAGTAGATTTATTTATTTTTATAAAATTGAATAAGTGCTAGATCTTTGTAAATTTGTAATTGCATTAAACATTCATATATATTTTACCAATTTTACATATGATCAAAATTTCAATATTAACAAATAGGATACGTTTTCACTGAAAAAGAAGAAGCACTAAAGATTTTAAAAGGATACAAAGATGGTCGGCTTAAAAGCTTTAAAAATAAAGATGATGCTATTAAATATTCTCAAACTGGACATGAAGTCGTAATACAGAAATTTCCAGATTTAAAATGTAAGAAAACAAAAAATATTTTTATATAAAAATGTAAATTTATATTATTTTAATCATTTGCTTTTCATATAATTTAGCACCATCTGCAACTGCAGAAAAGGCTGCATTTTTCGCCCCAACTAAACAAGAACGTATTAGTTTTCGCAAAGCTATAGAAGATGGAGATTATAATAAGGTGAACGAAACTATTTGGAAAAATCCACGATATTTGGTTAATGTTGGTGATACACCAACAAGTTTAAAAGATGGATATCGATATAATGCATTGCATATTTGTGCAATTCATAAAAAAGCTGAAATTGCCGATTTGATATTACAAACAATAAGTACTATAAGTTTTGTCGAACTTTTACATGGGAAAAAAAATACAAAAGTATGCCAAGAAGTTTGTGAAATACTTTTGGATTATTATCTGAATATGCCTGAAAAAGGGCGTAGCGAAACACCTTTACATTTAGCTGTAAAATATGGAGCTGTTGAAGTAGTTGAAGTTTTAACAACGTATTCTCAATGTAAAATGATACCGAATTTGGAAAATTTGTTACCAAAAGATGTAATTACAGAAATTCAAAATCTAAAAAAAATTAATAATTTAGTTTTTTCTGCTACTTTTGACAGATAATTTGCGATCGAATTAATGATGCACCCCTCGAATTAAAAGAAAAAATTGCCAATTTGTTACAAGAAAGGTTTTATGTTCCAGTTATCAGATCTGTAGATGGTACAGTGGCACCAAGTGTCGGACAACCTTTTTCACCAACAAATCTTCCTGTACGCTTCAAAATATTACAAAAAACTATTGTTTATTTAAAGAACTTTTATGTTTTAGGATCTAAACATGGACCCTTTGAGTCCCGAATTAGAAATTCAAGCATACGCTGGACCGATGTCTAAAGAACAGGCCAAAGTTCGTAAAAATAAATGTTTATTTAAATTAGGACAAACTATTTATAAAAATTTTGAATTTTTTGTTTATTTTAGAGTTTTCGTCGACGTTGGAAGACTCCTCCTCGTTCTTCTAATTGTTCTCCATCAAGATCTTTGAATGTTTGCTTCAGCCCACACAAAATAAAACTTTTGGCTAGCACACCCAGAAAATTATTTAATTCGCCAATCAATACGAATCCAACAGCAAGAACTTTGTTCAACAGCGATAATGATGATGTAATAGTTTCTGAGGACAATCAAAATGGAAATTTCGTTGATCATAACTACGCAAAGTCATTAAGTCAACAAATAGAACATAATAATGATATTGAAAATAATAATGGAACGAATTTAAATGAAAATCTTCAAGAATTAAATAAGATTGTCGAAACAGTAACATTGTCCAACTCAAATAATGCATTGCAATTTAATAGCCTTAACAAATTCGCATTAACACCTTTACTTAAAAAGAATCCTGCCAAAAAAGATATGTTTTTTAAATATCGTGAAAAAGCAGATTCTCCAATAGTTTTATTTGATAATTTCAACGATTCAACCCAATCAAATGATTCTGATTGTGGTTTAAATAACACAACTTTACCAGATTCATTATTAGCTTTAACAGAAAGGCATGTAAAACTAACCGATACGGAAAAAGGTCTCGAAATGATTGGCCGTGAGTTAGCTAAAGAACAAAATGTCGAATGGAAAGAGTATTGGGATTTTCTTGGAGTTTTTGTGGATATTGCTTCACCAGAAGGTTTAGATAAATTAGAGCAGCATTTAAAACTTAGAAAAAAAATTATCAATGAAAAAACTGCTTCCGATGCTGTAAAAACTAATGAAAAAATGGCACGTAACGAAAAAGAACTAATGCATTTATGTAATGAATTGCATAAATTGGGTTTAATAAAAGATAAGAGTAACATTAATCAAGCAACACAGAAAAATCATTTGATAAATCCAAATACGTTTGGATTATCTGGAGGAGGAAATGATCAAAATTCTGTTACTGTAAATGGCTTAAATGAAAATAAATCTGCAAACAGCAATCAGCAAACCACAACACCATATCTATGTGTTGAAAAGTCTTTGCAAGTATTTGCGAAACGTTGTACCAAAACAATATTACACAATATAAAGAATGTGGTATCAATTCATGATGCATTCTTATCTGAATTAAAAAGACTGAAATCACTTATATGTAGTTTTAAAGATGATATAAGATTTTTAGAAGTTGATTTTACATATGTCCATTCGCGCTTTGCCAATTTAATTGTTAGTTATTTAAAAAATTCTCATGACACAGACAATAATATTTTACTAGAGGTAATAATAAAAATTTTTGAAATTTCCAAAAACCTCATATTATATGTTACCCATTTTTTTTTAGATTCGGCAATGCTTTGAACAAATTATTCAATCCAAAATGAAAGTGATTGACAAAAATTTTTTGAACTCTATACCAATTATTGATAAAAAAGAACAACTACAATGTGTGTCTGAATTTTTATTAAAATTTTTGAAAAATGAAGGTAATAACGTATATTTAATCCTCACCCATTCCAAAAAAAACATTATTTACTTTCAAATATTTTTCAGAACCTAAAATATTACCTGAAAACCTGAAAACTGAAAAAATATGTGCTGATACATGGGCTAATGAATATCATTGTGAATGCCAATGGGAAACAGTACTAAGTCGCCAAGCAAGCCGTAAAAAACGTCATGATTCACATAGCGACGCGTCAAGAAAACTTTTTAATGATTTGAATACAAACGAGAATACCGATGATAATAAAGGATACCCAAATTCAAACATAACTAATACGGAAAATTCATGGAGAAAATCTCAAAATGAAAGTTTTAGTAGTAATGATTCGTCAGAAAATGATTTAAATGATAGTGATGATGACATATTTTATGTAATAAGAACCAATTTTAATCAAAATTTATTTTACATTACTAATTTGTTTTTAGTCCGATTTTGGATCTGATGAGGATAATGATTTTAATTTTTATACACCACCAGATAGCCCAACTATGCTGGAATTGGATGTTTCAGATATTCATGATTATAATGTGTACTTGCTAGGGTATAACAATTATGATTTATATATATATGATATCTACTGATATTTAATAATTTTAACCTACTTTTTTTAATAATTTTATAGAAATGAGCCTACCAAACGTGATTTGGATGTTTTGAATGCTATATTTCACATTGACATTAGTAAGGAAAAATATCCAAATATCTATAATTGGCGTGCAGCCATCCTTAAACATCCGAATGAAGAACGTGACAAGTAAGTATTAAATGTAAATTAAAAATTTTTAATCTGTAATTAATTTTCTCTATAGTTCAAAATTACTTTAGTAATTAACAACACGAAATTTTTTATGTTAAAATATTGTTTAACTTTCTGTTCTTTTTTTTTCAGAATTAAACTGCAAAGAAATAAAATTTCTAACAATTTCAAGAGACCCCTTAAAGATCTAAGTGGGTAGCTCTGAATAATAGAAAATTTTTATCATATTTTTTTCAAAATTTTTCATTATAATTCAATTTACTATGATGTAAAAATTCGTTTTACGCTTGAGTTAAGTTCAGACTAAATAGAAAATTTTTTGAAGGCTAATTGAAATTAAAAATTTTACTTTAACTTAAGTGTATTTCGAATGTAATTTACATAATGTTTTTCATTCACTTACACGCTATTCCTTTGGAATTCACTAACATTTTCTTCTATTGCATTAATTTCATATTTTAGCAATAATATTTTTCCTAAATAATATCATTTTTAAAAAGAAAATAATTCTAATTACATACATACATAAATATGCGCTCAAATTTTAACTTCATGACATATGCAAAAGAATTTCTATGTAACAATTTTAAAATATTTTTTTTTGTATAACTTTTTTCAGTTTTCCATCACCATCAGTTGTCGTAAAGAAGCATTGCTCATACAGGGAAAATCGACGTAATAATTTTATAGCTGGAAGACGTTTATTTGCACCCAGCAAATTTATATCATCGTCACCAATTAAAAATCATTTAACTAAATTCGCAACTGAAAATTTAATACGTCAAAGTAATTTAAGTGGTGGCAGCAGTAATTCATCGAATAATTCTTCTTTAGATCTTAATATTAGTAATAATTGTGTTGATACATCACCATCATTAACACCAGAAACTAAGATTCTACAACATTTTGAAGAAGATTTATCGTTAATGAATGTTTCAAAATGTTAGAAACTTAATGAATTTGATAATTGTCGTAATTTTAATTAGAAATAACGAAATTCGAGAAAAAAAAAACTTTTTTTTTTCATATTTGATTATGATTACTCGAATGTTGTGATTGAAAAGTAATCTTGAATTTAAATGTTGCATAGATCACGGGTAAAAGTTTATTAAATCAAACTTAAAATGCAAAATTATTTTCTTACATATTTTAACGAAATGTGTTCAAATCATCTCGAATTTTGTAGTTCAGAATTGATTTTTGTTCCCAAAAATTACGAGCTTTTTTTCTGTTTTATTTTTAATAATACATATATTAATTTTTCTATTTTAAATCATGAAAATTATTTATAGTTTTATTACGTTTTCTTAAATTTAATAGATACTTACACTAATAATAATATAATTATCGCTTTTAATATTTTAATTTGTAACATTTTTTTTTCCTTTTTTAAATGTAAAACTTTTATGTTCGTATGCTTATATTTTTTCCATATTTTACATATTTTAAATAAAAAATTATCAATTAATTTTTCTCATTAAAATTAACAAAATTAAATTAATTTTTGTTAAAGAAAACTATTGATAAAACACCATTAATACCAAATTTTTATAATATAAATTAGGATAGAAATTTTGTAACAAAAAAAAAAAAATATGTATATATTTTTTTTTCGTTTTTATTGAAGAAAAAATAATAAGATTTAAGTATTTGCAAAAGACACCCATTGGTACCCAAGATTTAAGTATTTGCAAAAGACACCCATTGGTACCCAAGGCTTTCTATCTTGTTATAAATGAAATTAAAACAAACAAAAAATGAAGAATATAATTCGAAAATTATTGAATTCTAAATTATAATTAAAATTACAAAAACACAAATATTCCATTTTTGCAAAGATAAGTAAATGACTTTACTTTCCTCTTAAAGAACAATTTCATATAATATCAATTATTTAAAATTTATTTTAAATTCTCTTAATTGAATATTTTTTTTGTATAATTTTTTAAATTAATTCTTATTGTCACATTTCCTAAATAAATATATACATATAACAAATATATAAATTTGCAATTAAATTTTAATTTTATTATCAGTATTTTCTAAATTTTTATTATAAAAAATTAATAATATCAATAATTTAAAATTAAATATATGGCTTTTTAATAAAAAATAATAAAAATTAAAGAAAAAACATCTTATTTTAAAGTTATAAAAAATTTAAACATTGCATTTTTACCAATAAAATATTATTATATATATATATATTTTTTTTTATATATGTGTTGTTCACAATAATTTGTAAAAGACGGTTCTTTTTTTCTACATCATTTTTATTAATTGCATTTCTTTTTTTTTTTAATGATATTAAATTGATGAAAGATCTAGTTGCCGTCTCATAATAAAATACTATTTGTACTAAATATTATATAAATAGAACAAATGTTTTCTGTTTAAATAAAATGAAAAAAAAAATTAAATATTTCTCTTTTCAAATAATTTTTTATAAAATTAATATTTAAAAATGTTATCGATAAAAATAATAAGGGAAAATTAAAGATGAAAACAATAAAATAAATTCCTATATTAAAATTAATAAAGAATGAATGATTTAATTTTTTTAAATTAAATATAGAATTTACAAAATGGAAAAAAGAAAATGTTATTTTATATTTGAAATAAAAAATCAATGATATTGAAATTTTCAGTTTTTTTCTTTCTTTCATAAATAAAATTTACCTAAAATGTTTCTTTTGTTTTAAATTTACTTAATAATTCGAAAAGAATTTAAACTTTGCATTGCTTTTTAGATTTCTTATAATGAGCAAAAAATTATAAAATAATTTTTTTTTTTTAATTTGGAAGGATTTTCTGTTATTTCATAATGCAATTGTCCTTATTTTCGAATTTTTAAACCATTTCAGGCATAGTATTTTTGTACCATTTTAACTTTTGGAGATTTGCGTATGGCATAAATAGACTTAAGTATGGCATAAAAAGACTTAAGATTTAATTATGAACTTTCAGTGTGCGTCTGAATTATTGAAATTCTATGAATTGCTATTTGAAAGTTAGGAAACTCTACTTTATACCTCACCTTTTTAGCCGCTTTTTAAGTAATAATTTAGGCTATTATAATTTTTAAGTAATAATTTTCTAAATAATATTTCTCATGTTTTCATTATTTATTAAGCAAGAAGAATAAATATCAACTATTTCGAGAAAAGCTGTGCGGATTTAACACTCACTACTCACTGTTTATCAGAAAATTTAATATTTCACCTCTCTTAACAGTAAGTATGTCGAACCACTATTCATACGTATTCTATTCATATATGTAATTATAAGATACTTTGAGATTGCTAGAAATTATTTACTAGATAAGAAATAAATTTTTTTTTACTAAATATCATACTTACTTTAACTACTCGTATTGATTGAATAATTTTAAATATAATTTTAAGCAGAAATATAGTTTTAATCCTGCAAAAAAACCTTGAACATTATAAATTAGAATAAAAAACAGCATTAAATTATATTTAAATTTAATATAAATATATTTATTTACAGTACTCAAATCCTCTAAACGAAATGAATAAAAAAAAAAAACAATTATTATTTTATTTTATATAAAAATCACATAAAATTATTATTTTTATAAATAAAAAAAAAATTATATAATAAATACATATATAATTTACAAAATTTGAATTATTATCCATCATTTATGTACTTAAATTTATACATATACATATATTATTTAAAACTCAAGAAAGAAAAATACTTAAAATTTATAAATAAAAAAAAAAGAGGCAGAAACAGCAGCTTGATGTATAAAAATTTATTAAAAATTAAACAACCATTTTGTTATACAACATACAATATAATTTGATACAGAAAAAAATTAATACAAAAAATAAAATAAAACTTAATTTTAAATGTTCTTAGAAAAACATAACACTTGATTAGTAAAAATTAACTTGCAATTAAATGTTTCATACAAGTATTTTTATGTTTTTCTTCATTTATTTTCCTTTTTTTTTTTGAACTAATAATGCTTGAGATGCTTTTATAAAATTTATTATTTAATGCAATGAATTAATTTTTTATTTCAATTTATTTGTGATTCTTGAATAAATATATGTAAGCATATACAAGCAAAAATAGATGATTTTCGAAATTTGAAAGGGGCCTTTTACTTTAAGTGAACTATTGTTAATCATCTCTAAGACGTAAGTTAAATAATGGGTATAAAGTATTAGCGTTTTTACAATATAGAATCTTTAATTTTAGAGTTAATTTAATTCTACAGCGTACAGACGTATCATTTGTATAATTACTATCAAGACTCTATCACTTATATAGTATTAATAATACAAGTGATAGTCTTGTAGTAAAAATACAAATGATAATCTTGTAGACTACAATCTTAATATAACTATTTGTCTATAAATTTTTTTTGAGTTGATAAAAATTTGATTGAAATTTTAATTCGGGAATTTTGTTTGAAATGACATTTTCTCTCAATAGTTCTCATCGATTTCCAGGACGGTTGTTAAACCTAATTTTATTAATTTTATAATTTTTATTTGTAATTTTTTTTTTTCAGCTTTTGAAATGAAAAATTTAACAAAAATTTTTGTGATTGCGTTTGTTTTAAAAATATATTTTAGTTTGTTTCTTTATATTCGAAAAAAAAAATCTATAAACAATGTTTGAGCCTAAAACGTTCCCACAAAAGAAATATATAAATATTTCTTTTGTTCTACATTTAAAAAGAATTTTGTTTCAAAATATAAAAACAAAAAAATTAATGCATATATTTCTTATTTATATTTAAAATGACTCACTTTTACTCATGTAAGTCTAAAAAAAAAGTAATAAAATGAAAATTAATATTCTTTGTCTTTTATTTTGTTAATGTACTCGTACTCGTAACACCACAATTTTTTAATAAAAAAAAAAAATAAATAATTCCTGCATGGATTACAAATAAATTCATTGCATTAAAAATAAATGGTTTACATTTAAGGCATTTTATATAAGTTTTGTTTATGTGTATTTTTCTTTATTATTTGTATTTTGATTTTCTTTTTTAATTATTTTAATCTAAGAGCTATATGATAAATAGTAGGAGTCAAGATTATGATTCTTTAAACTTTTTTTTTTTTGTTGTTTTTGTAATTTATTTAGTTGCCTTATCGTGATATGTTTTGTTTAGTAATTTATTTATTTACTTATTTTTTGTTTTTTTTTGGGTTCATTATACACTTATGAAACTTCAATTATCTGTGCCAGCAAGTTATAATCATATTTTAATTTATTTATTTAATTAGTTTTTATTTTCTATGATACGCGAAAAGTTGTAAATAATATTTTAAAATATTATTGTACAAATAATTATTCATATCAATTAAAATATTTAAATAAATTGTATGTCTCAACCAAATTCGATCTGATAGTTTCTGTCAGCTTATCCGAACTTCTGTTTCTTTTCATGATCTTTTTTACGATACCAATAATTTATTTTGGTATGGTATATTTAAATTAAGTAAATGATTATCATTTGTTGACACAGATTAAGATTAAGATTACCGATTAAATGTATTTTTGGATTTTAAAAATATTTAAATTAACCAAGACTTTTTCTTAAATATATACAAGTAAATTATATTATTAACGATTGTCAATAAAAAATTAAATTATTCATTAATATGAAATTGCAATAAAATTCAATAAATTTCTTATAAAATCCTTTGTAGTAGCAATAAAATATAATTTATTTTGAACATTTGACTGAAATATATATACATATATATTTTTTTAGAACAATAAATAAGAAAAAGAAAACTAAAATTTAAATTATTTTTTTCTTCTTATTTCAATAATATTTATATAATATAGTCTGGATATATTGTATTAATTAATTATTATTGTATTATGTCGTAAAATGTAAAAATATTGTATAAAATTTTAATATATTATTGTGTTACTTTTTTTTTTTTGTTTATTTTAATTTTTTCTTGTTTAATTAATTTTTATGTTATTTTGATTCATGAATATTAAATGTATATATTTAATTATATATATATATATATATATACATATATATATTTATGCGCAATTATTATTGATAAATGTTGGATATTATAAAAAATGGACAAAAATATTTCTTTTCACATACTATTTTCTGTTTTTTTTTTTTTTTGTTCTAGAATTTGATTAAATGAAAAATTAAATATTCAATATGTACATTTTATTTTTTAAAACAAAAAATTTAATTTTATTCTTATAGATATTACTTTATTTAAAATAGAAAAATCAAAATTTGTTTTAAGAACAAATTTTAAAAAGGAAGCGGGATAAAATATTTATTATCTTTTATATTATTGTTTATTAAGGATAATTTCTAAGAAGAATATATTATATATTATATGAAAATTTTTGGAAAGCATGAATATTCAATTCTTATAAGAAAAAATTAAAAAACAAAAATGATTATATTTACTAATTAATTAGTTAAGTTATGTTAAGTACATAACAACATTTTATATAATTAAATACTGAACTTTTTTTATTAAACGATTCATTAAAAAATCTTATAGTTGTGAATAGTAGCGAGTAAAGTTTTTTTAATTTTTTAGAATATAACTTTAAATTTTTGTATAATTTTTAGAATTAAGCAAATTAATTTCTTACGAATTCTTCGTTGTTGAAAAGAATGATATTTGAAAGTTTTTATTAAAAAAATAATTTGTTCTCAATACTAGAACATTGTATTTAGTAATACAATAAATTTATTTAAGCTAAAAAATTACAATAAAAAACAAAGAAAATTATTTAAATTTTTCATATTGGTTTGGCAGCAAAAAAATTTTTAACTAAAAATGATTCCCATAAAATAATATTAAAAAAAAAAAAACAAGTCTTTAAAACGAATAGTCTAACTTGAACAATCATAAACAAATAATGTTAATTTAAAAAAATTAAAAGCGAAATTTAAAAAAAAAATTAAATATATAAACGGAAATCTGATTTAATAACTAAAACATGATTTAATAACTTAAATATAAGCAATTAAATATTGTTTAATTAAATTTTAATTAAATTAAAATCAACTGAATTGTTTTTTTTTTAATAATTAGAAATCCCAATTTTATATATTATGCACTTTAAATTTAATTTTTATAAATTTACACTTGAATAACGAATATATTCTACAATGTATTTGCATTATATTTTGAAAAATATTAAAATATTTTTTTTTAGATATTTGTATTATTTAATTGTATTTACATATTAATTTATAAAAAAAAAAATATTTTGTATGTATATTTCATTATTAATTATTCTTATTATTCGTTATTTAAGGGTAAACTAATTATGTATTTATTTTTAATATAATTTAAATCTTAAATTTACTTAAATAGTTACTTAAAAACTAAATTAATTAATAGTATGTATTAGTTTTTGAATGTTTTAGTTTAAGCACATAATATTGTATGTTAATGCATATTGTTTATGTTATATATTATATAAAATATATTATTTAGTATGCATTAAGTGTACAGTAAACAATTAAGTTTGCTTATGTATATTATGCAATACTTAAAATTTATAATTATTATTCCCTTCTTTCATATGGAAATACTTTAATGGAAAAAAAATTTAAAACGAATATTTCAATTTTAATTTTCAAATATGAAAACAGTAATTATTTTGTTTTATTATTTTAACTAAGGCATTTAAATATGTACATGTATACATATAGCATTATTATTTCCTGTATGAATCATGAGAAATAAATGTATTATGTTTTTAAAATTAGTTATATTGATTGTATTTATATTTCCAGATTAAAAATTATGATATTTTTTTGAAACTTTTAAAAAAAAATACAGTAAAACAAAAGATTTTCTTTTTTTATTAAGCCTATTCACTGGCAAATCCATGAATCGAAAGGGTATCGGAATATAAAATTTACATATCTTTGTATTTAAAATTTTAAATATTACTCACATGTTTATGTTAATATATTTTTAATGTTATCATTGTTGTAAAAATCTTATTTTCATTATCAATATTTATTACATACTTAATTTTTTCATTTTATTTTAAAAAGTATTATTAGAAGTAGCATTACGATTAGAAAACTGTGGTAGGAAAATAAATCACGAAACACAACAGCTATTTCTTGAATTACTACTTTGAGTTGGTGTTTTGCATCGTTTACTATTTTTAGTTGAATGTGATAATGTATTAAAGCATTGTGATGTCGTTAACGCATATGATTTCAAATTTGATTTTACTGACGGAGGTAGTGGTAGCGTATCTATAGCGTATACACTAGTTCGTCTAACAATTGTTCGGCAGCATAGTTCTTGCAATGATAATACTAAAACATAAGAAAATTGCAAAACTTTTATTTACTCACCACAATGTCTTTTTTTTATTAATATTATTTTACCTTTATTGCTTCGTAAAATTCTCTCCATACCATTTCGATGTAATGCCATCCTAGCCAACTCACAAAATGATTCTCTTATATTAAAGTCACATAATGGTGATATTTCAAAACACGCCATATTATTTCTTGAAGCATAAAGTTCAGCTGTTTTAGCAGCAACCTGTCGTTTAAATGCTAAATGCAAACGGTTACCAACTAGAACTTTCGGTACACCAGGTGCATGCTTTTGTCAAAAATCATTTTTTTTATGTTTTTAATAAAAAATATGAAAAGAAAAAACATTTTAGTATCAATTTTGTACAAAGAATATTTTTTAATAAGACAATCTCACCTCTTCTACCTCTTTAAGCCAACGATCAATTCCATCAAAACTCCATTTATTTGTAATGTCATAGACAAGTATAATTCCTTGTGCACCTCGCGAATATGATCTAATTATAGTACAGAACCTTCCTTGTCCTGAAGTATCCCATAATTGCAATTTGACTCTTTTGCCTTCTAAGAGTATTGTAGTGGTCTTATATGCAGCTTTAATAAAATATTTTAAAAGTAAATATTAAGAATTAAATTAATTTGTGAAAATTACCACTTCCACTACAAAAAGGACTTTCGGAAGATCCATCTTCTAAACCAGATAAGATTTCATGTTTTCCAACATCACTATCTCCAACTAATAAAACTTTAAGTAAATAATCATAATCTTTCGCCATTTTCATCAGATCAGCGACTATAGTCTTTTAGTTCATAAAATCTGAAATTTAAAAAAAAGTCTGAAAATTATTTGTGATATAAAAATCATTATGACAATTATACATACAAACACACGTATGTACGTATATTAATTTTTATTGATGTATAAAATATGCCCTTTTAAAGGGGTAGATTATTAATCAGTTTATTAAATAAATAAATGGAACAATTCAACACTAGGAAAATATTGAATGTAAACGGAAAAATTAATGTGGGTAGAAGAAAATATTTTTTTAAACAATTGAAAAATAAAAAAATTAAAAAGAAATGAAATTCGAGTTTATATAATTAAATTTTATTGTTATGTTGTTGGACAAAATTGAAAAATTCCCGTAAAATTCGCATTAAAACAAAATTAATAAACCGAATGCAGTAATTTTTATTTTTTAGAACTACTCTTAAATAGGAGCAATTATATATATGTTAAGATTTTAGTTAGGTAGGTAGTTAGGTACAATCTATGCATGTTTTATGTTATAATATATGCGAAACGTTAACCAGTTCTATTACAATCTTAACATAGTTATGAACAAGATAAACATTTTTTTCATTTAAGTATAGTTTATTTTATTTAAGTACTCATTTACCTACCACAACTGTTAATGTTTCTTAGATATTTCTAAATAAATCTAATTTCTCTGTTTTTTGCTTTTTTACACGAACATTTCAGTTAAATGGCAAATTAATAAGAATTGATTCAAATATAAATTTCATTTAAAACATATATGTATGTGGACTTTAAAATTTTACAACACAAAATATTTTAAATCACCTACCCACTCAAATTGAATATATTATATACCTTAGATATAAAATCATACAGATACTGCCTATTAATGATATAACGCAACACTGTTAAGAGACACTTTCAATGCAGGAGACCATGAAATTTAATCCCACTAAAATTGGAAAAAAAATCGTGGAATGGCACCTGGGTAAGTATCACAAAGAAATTCAGTACTAAAATGAAATTGAATAAATTGAATCTAAATTTCAATAAAACAAGATTCAGAATTTTGATTATTTTGAATGCCCAAATTTGTCTAAACAAAAGCACAAAAATTTGTAATACTAATTTACATGTGTAGGTATGTATTTAAAAGTTTCCATAAACTATTTAAAAAGTAACATAAAGTATAAGTTAGGAAGAAGCAGAAGAGTTTTAATTTGTTTGCATTTCCTGTAAAATTTTTAATGATATGAATAGAATCGAAGAAAAAAAGTAAATTATAAATTCAGTTAACGTTCGTTGATCGGAAAACAAAATAAATTAGCCACGAACTCAGTCAAAGGAAATTCTCTTCCATTAAAAAATAGTATTTCGAAAGCAGCTTGATTTTTTTTATGCAGGTAGGTACATGCACATACCTACATAAAATAAGTTTTGGTAAAAGAGGTAGGATGTGATTATTATTTATCTTCATTATAATTCATTTGCTTTGATTTTTATATCCATTTAACTTGGTGGAAAAAAAAAAACAAATATGAGAAAAAATAATACTGCTAATAACAAAAAAAAATTCAAAGCGCAACAGACTATGGCAAAAAAAAAAGAAAATGTATGTAAGTAAAAAATAAAATGACCTCAAGTGTATTTTTTTTTGCAGATATCCTCGCCCCCTCTGAATTACAATGGAAATTACAAATACCAGCCTACCTTACTCTCTTAATGCAAATTTTTTGTTCTTAATTCTTTAACACTATAGTTGTGTGAGAACCTTTTTTTTTTTTTCTAAAAGTGTATTTAAAATATGTACATATGTAGATACTTACATTTTTTTATAATTAAATTTCAATTGCGATTTTGTAAATTTCATCAATGGCTAATTTTGCCCCAAAAATCATTCAATATATTTTTTTTAAATTACCCATAAACTATTAATTTTCTTAGTAATTCAGTATTTATAAAAGTTTTTATCACCAAAAATGTTTCTTGTTTAAATAAATATTTATTTTAAACACCACAAGGTCGAATCTTTTTGTTTGTAAAATTGCACTGGAAACGATAAACGCAATTGAATGGGCGTAAAATTTTTATAGTTTTATATTTCATTATTTTAGTTCTCTTATCTTTAAATTTGTTTTGATTTTATTAAAATACACAAACACAATAAATATATTTGTTATTAAATTGTAGATTAATAACTAAATCAATTATTAAATAAAATTGGTACTTATCGAGAACAAATTTTTATTTTGCATTATTTTCGAATGAATAAAAAAGTGCGTTGTTGAGGCGCTGTTGGTGAATTTTCAGATGTCAATGTCATGCTACTGTCAAATATGCAAAAATTTTTAATTCGCTACTAACAGGGTTGTACAACACCAGTGTTTAAAAATATTCCAACTTTAAGTCAAAAATGTATTCAAACATGTAAAGTAAGATTTTCAAAAGACGAAAATATCAACTAGTAAAGCAAAGTTATACTTGAATAGCTCAACATGCTGGTCAACTTGGTTTTGTTGGATATAAAGTTGATTATGTATTTATAAAGAATAATTTTTTGCTTCATTAAATTTCGTACGTTTTTCTGCCAACGCTATAACTAAAATTTGAACAGCATTTTAAATTAATTATTAGTACTATCCTTTTAATCGTTATGGCATTGTTTTCCATCCAATGATTATTTGAAGACGTTTTTAAAATATTTCTGAAACGGGCAATTTGGTTTATTTTTTCAATAAAGATTTGAAAATTTTTTATTGTTTTCTTTTAAATTTGCTTTATATTTGCTTGGTTTTAAAAAAAATTTTTAAATAAAAGAAAAGTACTTTATGTTATATGTCGCTTTTAATAAATAAGCAAGTAATTTTGAGTAAAACTTTATTGACAGCATATTATAATTTTCAATAAGATCAGCAAATTATTATGCTATAAAGATCTTGTCTTTGACATTACGTCATAAATATGAAAAATTTTAAAGTACTAAGTTTTTTATTCGATTAATATTGACAATTTTGAGACTTGACACATACGAAGCTTAAGTCCAACGTTGCTTGCAAATAACTCGCGCCGCAATACCTATTCAATATGAGATAACAAAAATAAAGTTCAAAGTATTCTAAATTTATTAAACATAGCGATTCAAAATAGTCCATATTTTTAGTTTTCAGGAAAGTAAAAAATTATTTCTCAAAAATAATGACATAGTTGACGTTAAATACAAACCATAAATAAAACATTCATGAAAAAACATGATTGTCATGTTTATTAATTATACATACTATTTCCAAAAAAATATTTATATTCACGTCAACTATGAAATACTTCAAAATTCACAATATAAAAAAATACTTCAAAATTCACAATATAAAAAACTTTATTAGAGAAACCAAAATGGATTTTTATTTCAAAAGTAAAAGCGACATTACGCGAAATAGTCAAAGCAATAATAAAAAATAAAAACCAATGTGTTTGTATTTCAAATGAATTTAATTTAATGGTTATGAAAAAACAACTTTAAGATTACAAGAATTAACAAAAGGTTTTTGTGACAGACGTAAATTTACGTACTTTTTCGTACCTTTTTGTTTATTTTATTTTCCAGGTTATAATATCTTAATAAACGAATTTTAAACATATCAAAGTTAACATCATTTTTTGTCAACTATTAGAAACCGCTATAGAGCTTAACTAATTGAGTTTATCATTTAAAGCGAAATATTGTAGATATATTGGCTTAATTATCATAAATGTAATTAAGCATAACAAATATTAAATACTTTAAAAATACAAAAATTAGTATTTACAACTATAAAACTTTTATAGTTGTAAATGTCATTTGATTGTTATAAAACTTATGTTAAGAAGAATTAAAATTGTTAAAAAAACAATAATGTTTGATGAAAAGGTGTGTTTTTATGGAAGTATCTATTGTACACAAGCATACACCGTTAACCAAGAATTTCGAAAAACTATCAGCCTTTTAAACAAAAACTGTTAGCAATACGAGTCGTCCATTGATAATATTTCAGAGCCGGATACATATTAACTAATTTCTGAACGCCAGCCAAATTCGAAGAACTATTCGAAAACATTCACATTTTTGACATTTCCCAACATGACTGACATTTACGACGCCATTTTTCTTCAGTTTTAATTAGATCCTCGTCTTTATCATGTCGATATGGAAAATGGCAGAAAAATTAACTTGACATATTAAGTTTTTTTTTTTTTTTAAACCAATTATATTTATAAAATATTAACTAAAAATATTTAAAATATCATTAAAATAATTGGAAAAGTGAAAATAATTTGAAATTTTGATTTCGGTTAGAGTGATTGAGGCGTTGGGAACGATTTGCGTAGGTTATTGAAGTTGGAATTTTTTTTGTGAATTGGTTTTTATTTCAAAGCAAGAAAAAAAACACGTTTTTAAATATAATTCTGAATTTAAAAAAAAAGTAAAATTAAATTTTATAATTGATTTGCGAAAAAAATTTATGTTTGTGTACTTTTAAAACAAAAATAAGTCACGAGAAAAATTTCGCTCGTAAGTTCGAAATCTGTATATGTATATGTACATACTTGCATATAAAAAAATTATTGTGTAAATTTCAACATTTGTTGAATTAGATTAAAAATTAAAATTTTTGAAATTATTTGAATTCACTAAATTAAATATTAAAATCTTCAGAAAGGAACAAAATGAAGGATTTAAGAGGAAATGAAGTTCTTGTCGGTGGTAAATACCGAATTATCCGCAAAATTGGTAAGTAAAAAAGTTTTATTAAAGATGGTGTGGAGGAAATATTTTTTTTATTTTATAATGAAGAAAATGTCCTTAGAAAATGAATACATACATATGTATTAATTTCCTATAGGTATAAAATAATGTGCATATGCTAAAAGATGATATGACAGTGGTGTACATGTATGCTTGAGTGTAGAATATTTTTTGTTTGAATGTTGAATTATAAAATGTAAAAATAATTTCATTTATAAAATTTATAAAATTAAAAATTGGCTATCTTATAAATCAAATTAAAAATTCAAAAATATGAATATATCAATATTTTCAGGAAGCGGATCGTTTGGTGACATATATTTGGGTATGAGTGTTCAATGTGGTGAAGAAGTTGCCATTAAAATAGAAAGTGTTACAGCACGTCACCCTCAACTTCTTTACGAATATAAATTATATCGTATATTAGCTGGGGGTGTTGGTATACCACGAATTCGGCATTATGGAACTGAAAAAAATTATAATACATTGGTGATGGAATTATTAGGTCCATCCTTGGAGGATTTATTTACATTTTGTAGTCGTCATTTTACAATTAAAACTGTTCTAATGTTGGTTGATCAAATGATTGGTCGCTTAGAATTTTTGCACCTAAAATTTTTTATTCATCGTGATATAAAACCAGACAATTTTCTAATGGGTATTGGACGACATTGCAATAAATTATTTTTAATTGATTTTGGATTAGCAAAAAAATATCGTGATCCCCGTAACAAACAACATATACCATATCGCGAGGATAAAAATTTAACTGGTACAGCTAGATATGCATCAATAAATGCCCATTTGGGTATTGAACAATCCAGACGTGATGATATGGAGTCATTAGGATATGTTATGATGTATTTTAATCGTGGTGCATTACCATGGCAAGGAATGAAAGCAACAAATAAAAAACAGAAATATGAAAAAATTTCTGAAAAGAAAATGTCAACACCAATTGAAGTTTTATGCAAAGGTTTTCCAGCTGAATTTTCAATGTATTTGAATTATTGTCGAAGCTTACGTTTTGAAGAACAGCCAGATTATATGTATTTAAGGCAACTATTTAGGTAAGTTATTATTTTTGTTTTTTATTCAAAAAAAGCAATATTTTTACATTTTAAAACTATTAATAGCGGTTTTTCTAAATTATCTATTTGCACAATTTTATTGTTTTCGAAATAAGTATAATTTTTTTTTCAATAAACCTATAGAATTTGATGAATGCCATGCCAAGTAGACATTTCCATTTCACTGCAAACCTTGGTATGCTTATTTTTAGCTTGGTATATGTAGTTTCTTATTATACGTTATGTATATTTAAATCTTATAACAGGTATATATTTTTACAAGTAAAATTTTATAGTGAAAATTAGATTCCAATTCATAATGATTGTAATTTAATTTTCAATTTAAAATTTAAAAATTATAATGAAAATGTTTATTATCCCACACGAAATATATTTGAAAAATAGTTGTTTTGTAAGTGAAGTAGGTATTTTTTTAATTTAATATTAACGTTGGGCTACTTCATATTTTGTTTACTACATTTTCCTAAATTTGTATACAGAAATTTCAATCTTTCTAAACCGGAATAAATTTAATAATGAATAGGTATAAGATTTCATGTCATAATTGCTTTCTTTTTTTATATCTAAATATTTAAGCTCATGTTTTATTTTTGTATGAAAACAATTTTTTGAAGATTTTATAATTAAAACAAAAAATTTTGTATATACCTAAATTCGTGTATATCATTAAAATGGTTAATATGAAATTTAATCTACATATTTTTATTTAATTATTAAAAAAATATTGACTAAACTACTATTTTATCCAAGAACGGATTAGATAGATAGGTATCCGTCTATTTTTGCGAGTTTACAAAATAGATACATAATTATATATTTTCTTTTCTATAGGTAAAAATATTGAAATGTTTTAATAAATATATTCTTGAAATTGGCAAAATTGTTGTGCCATACGTACATTCCTTTTTTACCAGTTTTATTTAAATTACAAATAAGAAGTGAATAAAAAATAAAAGTTTTATTAAAATTCATTAGAAACATGAATCAAATTTTATTAATTTTTATTATGCATAAGCAAATATACATATGTAAATATGCATACATCTTTAAAACAAAAATATTTTCTTGGTAAACTTTAATTAATTTACAATTATCAGATTAAAAATCAAAATTTTCACATATGTAGCTACTTATGTTTATAATTTTCGTTTTAAAAAAATTCTGTAAAATATTGTGTATATATTATACACGTAGGTGCCTATACATATACATTTTCAGAAATTTATGTTTAAATTCTTAAATATATCATGTATTACGTATATAAAATCGTATTTATATAGGTACACAGATTCTTTTGAACTAAATATTTCGCATGCTTATTTATTTTTTCATCTAAAAATAAATCTTCAAAAAATTTTTTCAATAATATCTTTTCTAAGAAAAATACTGTCTAATATAGTAGAATTAGAAAATACTAAAATACCTAATAAATGGCGCGAGTGGAAATATTAATTTTTAAAAAATTCTAAAGATAAAAAAAAACTTTTGCACATTGTGAAATTTTTTTTTGAAAAAAAAAAAAAAATTATTTGTAATTGAAGAATATAGGTATTTTATTTTCTATAATTCCACATAGTAAATTGAATTTAAGTTTGGAATTACTTTTATTATACTAAAAATTCTTTATTTGAAAGAAATATTAAAGATGATCTTTTCGGTCCATTCAATATTTCTTCTTTTTGTATTTAGTTCGTTCGATCGTTGGTTTCTAGGGGAGGTTTTTCCAAATTATATGATTAAGGTACCATAAATTTCATTGATTATTAAGTTAATAAAAAATTTTCAATATAAAATGTTTAACTTTTAAATTTGCAAATAAATCTTTAGCCTGTTTGTAATTCGACGCTAGAACTAAATATATGCGAATAAGTACAACAGCAAACAATCAACTTAAAATGTGTATGATATTGTGTTTAAAAATTTTATCATATGAAGATTCTGTGCAGAATCTGTAGGTGTCTGTATAGATTATGGTGCTTAGATATTGGATGTTAATTCTTTTGTTTAAAAGCATTTCCAATAACTAATTAAAAATTATTTGATTTCATGCGTTTAAATAGAAATATCAACATTTATTCCTTTATTTTTATTAATACATATACATATGTACATAATTCCAATTTAATTATCAATAGTTTTGCATACTTTTCGGGATAATTTCTAAATGAAATAAATTTTTTAAGGGATTAATTTTGGAATTATATTGTCGGGGTGTGTAACAAACTGGCAGACAGACCAAATGCAATTAATTAGCCCATATGTTTTTTCTTTAAATGTTCTAAAAATGAGCTTCGAAAATAATTTTCTTTTATTTTACTATTTTTAATTTTTAAAAAAAATATGCAATATTTTTTTGCTTCCTTCTTTAGACAGAACAGGGTATATATAACGTGTACAATGTATGCAAGTATATTTTAAAAAATAAAAAGGTGTACAAAGTGTACCGTTTGTTCGTTTATGCAAATATTTTACATTACGTATACGTACATAAATTGCTGTATAGTGTATACTATTGCAATGTAATAAAAACAGAAATGAGTTTTTCTTTTGTTTTGGTCTTGCATAGAAATAAATAAAAAGTTTTCGTGTCATCATATTTATATTAATTTTATATATATATATATATATATATATACATAAGTATATGTGTTTATTTACATATGCATATAAATAAACACACATTTTATACGTATATTATGTATCTTGTTGCTATTGTTCTTTAATATTTTTGTTTTAAGTTACATATTCATGCAAATATTTGAAATAAAATGTAAAAATAAAATAAGAAAATGTCATATTATAAATGATAATAATCACGAATTTAGACTGGATTTACTTAAAATACAGAAGAATATGAAGTTTTTACATAAAATATGTACGTAAATGAGTGTTTAAAAATTTATATATGTACGAGTATATAAAGGTGAAAATATATTTCGGATATGAGAATGTTATGAGTTTAACGATAGCTGTTATATAAATCAAAAAAAAAAAATGTTTGATAGAATACATGCTCACTTCTTTATTCATTTTATATTTATTTATATTTACATTTAACTTTGTATGCATAAATAAAAGAAAAAATACAAAAAATGATTTGATTATGTTTTTATTGATAAAAACGTTACCCAAAATATAAATGAAAATAAGGTTCATTGTTCCAAATTTTTCATTTCAACAACAAAATTGAAAAATCATTTTCAATAATTTTTTAAGCATTAGATAGCGTGCCTAAAATTAAATTTTTTCATATATGTATGTAAGAATATAAGTTTTAAAAAATGGGAGAAATAAGGGATTGTCACTAGAATTTGGTGGAGGAATTTTATTACAAAATGCTTATAATATTATGTATTATGTATTTTTGTAATTATATCAACTACTATTTATAATAATATCAAATTTTATATGTTTTAAAGCTGTTTTTATTGAAATGAGTTACTTAATTAAAATATTTTATATATTTATAACATGTCAAATTACATGACATCTTCAAATAGTCTAATTTTTATTTATCATAATTACAAGTAATTTCTATTTCAGACACTTTTATTTATGAGATTAAATTTGTTACAAATTTTACGAGAGTATTTTTAAATTTTTAAGCATCTGGTCTTCTTATATTTTTTTTTAAATTATACAAAATTTGTGGTTTAATAAAGAAAGATAGCTGAATTGAGTCAATTCTATTGTCAATTCTGAACTAAATTATTATAAAAGAGTAACTAATTTCAAAAAACTGCTATGAATGATTAAATTTAAATTTTAATATGACAATTAATTTCAACTGAGCGCTCATATTTTTATAAAGTATAACTTTTATTTTAGTAACTACAAAAATTTAATCAACAGCAAATAAAAGGAGCAAATGTATAAAAAAATTCAATGTACAAGATTCAATGTATAAGTAAAGATTCGATATTAAAATAATTCGATTTTTTTTATCTAATAAGCGGAAAATCAATTTTTAAATGAACATTTTTAAAAATATTTTTTAAAAATCCAAAAATTTTACTAAATCATTTTGATATTTCTAAAGTACCTACCTACTTCTTTTGGTATAAAATGAAAATTTTCTAATTACTTATTTCATATTTTATTTTAATTTTCATTATTTTTATACTAATTCTTATTTCTTCCGCAAAATTTATTTTTGTATAATAATAAATTTTGCACTTCTTTGAAGGTTTTCGGAAAACAAAAAAAAAAAATTACATTTATTCATTATTTTACTTGTCCATTTGTTAACAATTTTTTATTTTTATAATGGCGTGTACATAGAGTTGAAAAATTAATATAAACTTGAATTTAATATTTAATAGTGTTCTTTAAATAAAGAAAAAAAAATTATTCTTTTTTCTAGTCAGTTAAATATAAAGTTATGGCATTGAATTAAAATTATTTAATTTAAAAAAAAATACGAAAATTTAATTTTTTTGAAATTTTTATATTTAATTGATTTGATTTAGTTTATTAGATAATTACATTGACTTGAATGCATTACAAAGTTATAATTAAACTAATTAAAGAACTTAAATAAATATAAAATTTTATAAGGTTAAAGATTTTAAGATATAATTACTAGTACTTAGAATAATATTAATCACAGGTTTTAGATTTAATTATATTTAATTGTTCATATTTTTCTCATTTATTTTACTTTTATAATTACATTAAAGACGAAGTTTTGCAGTTAAGATTATCAACTAATAAATATTTTTTGTTTTTCTTTTTTTTTCTTTTTCAAATAAATTAATCAACTGTAACAGAAAAAGTGTAGGCAGTAACTTTGATAGAAACTCAAAAATTTAGTTTTGGTTTCTTAATATAATACAAATATTTATTTTGAATTTCAAAAATTGGTTTATTTATTTAATTAAAAAGCCTTGTTTCGGTATTTTGTTTAGATTGAGCTATGAGTTTTATATAAAACATTCTTGCTTCTTTGTATGAATTGAAGATGATTCATATAAAGCTGA